CTCACCTCAGCCTCCCAAAGGCGCGGGATTACAGGCTGAGCCACCGAGCCTGGTGGCATGGTACATTATTATACAGCAGAAAGTTTACAGAGTTCTTATATCATAGGGCTGAGATCAATAAATGATGATAAGAACATGAGGTGAAAAGCTTTAGAGCCAGATGGAGTGAGAAAGAGGACACAGCCTAAAAACTGGAGGTGGAATTAGAGTCAGTGTAGAAAACGTAGTCAAATAGCAATATCTCTAATTTTTTTAAAGATAGAAAACAGGTGTGTGTTAGAGAAAATAATGCTGGTCTAGAAGGTAGAGAGTCTGGGTTCTAATTCTTGCTCAGACATTAATGTGCGTGACCTGTTAGTAAGAGGGCTTCATCACAAATAAGATAATTATCTTTTCAAAAGATATACAATGATAGGCTGGGTGCAGTGGCTCCTGACTGTACTCCCAGCATTTGAAAGGCTGAGGTGGGAGGACTGCTTGAGTCCAGGAGCTCAAAATCAGCCTGACAAAATAGCAAGACTTCGTCTCTACAAAAAAAAAAGATACACTATTATAGATTTGTCTATTACTGCAATACTTACGGAGGAATTTTTTCTTTTCATCCAGAGATAGTTTGTGGAAAGCCTTCCAGAACATCAGTATAGTAGGATGTGTTTTGTAGTATACTTGATCATACTTTGAATTCTTGAGAGAAAAGGAAGAAAAATGATTTTGGGGAGGGAATATATAGAGATTGTTTGGACAAATCAGGGCATTTAAGGGATCACCTACTTGTTCAAATTGTTTCCAGTCATAATCAGTATTTCCAATTATTGCTGTCATTAGTTCTTCAGGCTTGAAACATCTAAGTATCTCCTTGTCACAGACTGTATAAAATCCTCTCTGAAATTCCTCATATACTGTCTTTACAGAGATGTTGAAAATGTAGTCAACATACTTAGAAACAAAGTCTTCCCTTGAGGGAGGCAAAAAAAAAGAAAAAGGCCAATGACATACTTTACCAATGACTAGAATATTCGATACCTTGTCCTTTTTGCATGTCTACTGCGAAGGAAAAGTAAACGACTTCTGCGTAGCACAGGGATGTTGTGTTCTGACCAAAACCTGGTCAGCGAGAAGAAGGACACTTAGAGAATACAGGCAGAAGGACTAAGATTACGTGCCTCTCATCTTCCTCATTGCATTCCAGAGGATTTTTTCGTTTTTGTTTTTTTTTTTCTGAATATGACATTCTCCAGCTTAAAGGCTTTTAAAAGTTTACCCTTTGGGTAAATTCCAAACTTCCTCAGCAATTAACCTTCCACTCACCCCACAATCTGACCCTTGCCAGACTCAGCAAGCCGCCTCGTCCCACTTCCATTTTCTCTTTTTTTCCCTATATTGTCCAGGTTGGACTTGAACCCCTGGCCTCAGGCAGTCCTCCCGCCTCAGCCTCCTGAGTAGCTGGGACGAGAAGTGTGTACCTGGCTCCCACTTCCATGTTCCTCTCTGGCCATACTGACTTTTGGCTCATCCGCCTTGCCATCTCTGTTTTGTAGCTAGGCCACAGAGGGCAGCACTTCCTCTCTACCTGACAACTTCTACCATCCATCAGATTCCAACAGAAAGAAGACTTTCTCAGGGTTCGTCTTCAGTTCCTCTCCTTTCCTTTCCCCTTCTTATAGCACATGTCACTTTGTGGAAATAATTTCTGCAAGTTTTATCTTGCACTACAGGAGGCAGTTTCCACTACACGACGCATTTCCTGATGGCAGAGTTCCTTCTGGAAGCGTCTCCACCAGAGGCAAGCTTGCCTCACCCTTTGGGCAGCCTTTGTGGACTAGTCCATCCAAATCAACTCCCCTCTGCCTTCCTCTGAAATCAGTCGTGTGTTGGGAAATGTCTAACATCCAGCTCTCTGGAAAGGAGGGCTTGGGAGGGGACCCACATTTGCAGCACTGGCCAATTTCTGTGGTGTAAATATTCCCACCGTGGCTGATTTTCAGCTACTAACACTTGTAAAATAAACTCTTTTTAACATTTTTGAAATTTAACAACCGGCTCTCACAAGCTAGTACCGGCTGGCTCCAGCATAACATCTGGGACTCCATAGTCTCTCTCTTTTTCTTATTTTTTTTTGAGTTGGAGTCTCACTCGGTCACCCAGACTGGAGTGCAGTGGCCGCTCCCAGTCACCGCAGCCTCGCCTGCTGGGCTCCGGCGATCCTTCTGCCTCAGCCTTCCAAGCAGCCGGAACTACAGGCGCGCGCTACCACACCCGGCTACTTTTTGGTTTATTGTAGCGATGAGGTCTTGCTGCCCAGGCGGGTCTCAAACCCGCGGGCTCAGGCAATTCACTCACCTCAGCCTCCCAAAGGCCTGGGATTACAGGCTGAGCCACCGAGCCCGGCCTCTTTTTTTCTTTTTAAAGCAGGATTTATTGAGAGGACAGAAGAGCTCCCACAATGGGAGGGGACCTGGAGGGGTTGCCCCTGCGTAGACTCTTAATTGGGTTTAATTTTCTTCAGAGTACTCATCCCTATCTGACATTATACTACATAATAACTGATTTGTATATTGTCTTTTGACTCTACTGGAATTTAAGTTCCAGATTTTGTTTGTCTTTTTGACTGCTGTATCTCCAGCACCTAGAGTAGGGTCCATACAGAATAGGTACTCAAAAATATTAGATAAATAAAGCTGAGTGTGATGGCTCATGCCTGTAATCCCAGCCTTTTGGGAGACTGAGGCAGAAGGATTGCTTGAGTCCAGGAGTTCAAGACCAGCCTGGGCCACACAGCAAGACCCCATCTTTACAAAAAAATGTATAAAAGTTAAAAAAAAAATGTTAAGTGAATAAAAGTGAAAAGTGCTGCAAAGAAAATATTTAATACTGAGTACTATCTCCTCTTACCCTACAACTTTTTAATCTCTCTAAAAGATGAAGAACTAAAAGGATCATCTGAGAAGCTGAAATACATTTCTAAAGTACAGTAATACAAACATTTTATGCACAGTATAATAAAAGCAGGTATTCTAGGTCTCAAAACTTACTTGTTGGTTTGGTCCACAGGTATAGAGAGCCCTTTTGGAACTAAATCCACATTTTTTCCATCCCAATTTATCTGTAACCAAAATATATTCAGGTATCAAACATGAAAGTAAGTCTGAATAATCCACCACCCATAATAACATTAAAGCCAGTAATTAACAATAGCTGGGAGTTAAATAATTATTTATGTAGTTCAACCTTTTAAATATATATAAAAGTAAACATGCGTGTGCAGGTATCTTTTTTGTAGAAGGATTTATGTTTCTCTAAGTATATTACCAGAAGGGGAATTGCTGGGTCATATGGAAGATCAATTTCTAGTTCTTTTAGGAAACACTACACTGTTTACCATTGAGGTTGGACTAGTTTGCACTCCCTTTTCTCTACATCCTCACCAGCATCTATTGTTTTTTGATTTATTAAATGATGGCCATCCTTTCTGGGATCCTTTAAGTGGCTTCTTAATGTGGTTTTGATTTGCATTTCTTCCATGATTAGTTTATTGCTACACTATTCGCAATAGCAAAAACATGGAACCAACCCTACTGCCCATCAAAATGGATTGGATAAAGAAAATGTGGTACATAAACATGGTGGACTCTTATGCAGCCATAAGGAAGGACAAAATCATGAATTTCGCTGTAAATTGGATGGAGTTGGAGACGATACTTAGTAGTCTATCACAGAAACAAAAAACCAAATACCACATGTTCTCATTCATAAGTGGGACCTGAACATTAACCACAGTAACACAAGGGAGAGATCAGCAGCAGCAGGACACTGCCAGGGGAGGGACAGGAAGGCATGTGGCAATATAAAGGGTACCTGTTCCTAAACCAGGGGAAGTGAGGACTGTTGGAGACCCAAACTTCACCTGCACATAGATTACTTATATATCTAATCCTGACTTGTATTTCATATCTCTATAATAAAGTAAATAAATGTATATATACATATATATATATATAGCTAAAAAGTAAAAAGCTACCCTAGTACATGTTGTACATTGCTTTCAAGGCTAAATTATTCTGTTTAGCTGTTTACATTACTCACATTAATTGAATAAACACTGTATCTTCACCTTGAGAGTATATAGACATAAGATATCCAATGAGAAGCAGGTGGAGTGAAAGTCTTACTGTACAAAAGTAAAATATCTTTCAAGAAAAGGATCCCATATTTAAGATATTATAACGAAAATTATTTTTAAAAAAACAGATTAAAATTAAACTATAATCTGGCTTTCATTAGTACTCACAGAAAAGCGCATGCCATATACATCTTCAATGTCACTGGCGCCATAATTTAGGACATCTTGTAAACTACTAATGAAAATTTGGTTTAAAAGTTATATTTGTGGTTCTTATACATTTCAAAAGTAATATAAATGTAACAGAAAAACTGTGAATAGTATAGACATTTATTAAATGTAACGTATATTTCCACTCCCCCACCTTCTACTCTTTTTTCCTGGAGTTAACCTCTGCTTACAGTTTGATGTGTTGGACCACTGCTCCCACACTGCTGCTGCTGCATCTTGTGGAAATGACAAGGAGCTCTTTTCTCTAAACCAGTGATTCTCAATCAGGAGTGATTTTGCTCTCCACCCCCCAGAGGACATTGAGCAGAGTCTGGAGACATCTTTGGTTGTCACACTTATGGCAACATAAGGTTACCTGGTCCTAAACCAGGGGAAGTGAGGACTGATTGGAGACCCAAACTTCACCTGCACATAGATTACTTATGTATCTAATCCTGACTTGTATTTCATATCTCTATAATAAAGTAAATAAATGTATATATACATATATATATGAGTTAAAAAGCGACCCTAGTACATGTTGTACATTGCTTTCAAGGCTAAATTATTCTATTTAGCTGTTTACATTATTCACATTAATTGAATAATCACTGTATCTTCACTTTGAGAGTATACAGACATAAGATATCAATGAGAAGCAGGGGAGGGAGTTGCCGCTGGCATCTAGTGGGTACACCTTTAGCTGCTACTAAATGTCCTGTAATGCCCAGGACAGCCTCCCACAACAAAGAATCAAACAGCCCAAAAGGTCAGTATTGCCACGACTGAGAAACCCTACTCTATTATAAATCTAGCCGATGTATTCTTCCGCTAACAGTGCACAAGAAGAGAACCTTTTCCAGTTTGTTGTTGACACTTTAAGAAAAACATTTTAACAGGTATAAATTTGTAAGCAAAAAAATGACATCTCATTTTTATATATTCTCTCTAGTGAAGGTGAGCATATTTTCATTTTTTGATTACACACACACACACAGCCATACATATTTACATATGACATGACACACACATATATTGTGTACTGTCCAAAGCAACTCTATCCACCTGGATAGAGTGAAGAGACCAAGCCAGAACTCTGCTTATTGTACTAGTTAACTAAAGGAATACTTGGCTTTTCTCCATTTTTTGAAGATTTACTCAATTATAAATTATGCTCAAATTCAAATTCATCTAAAGGACATACATCATTGAGATTGAAGACCTTGTCTGTGTGTCTCTGTGTGTAACATTATTATTGCCCAAATGACAGAGACTTACTAGATATAGTTCCTAAAAAATCAATTATATTTACTTACTTCCCTACACGAGGACTGAGTTCTTTTAAATCTTCCAGTGATGGCTTGTTGTCCAGAAGTTTCTTATACAGAGCCAGTGGGAAAGGAAGGTTGGCAACATTTAAATTGAATAAGGAGAGTCCACAGAGAATCCCAAAGAGGAAGTATCTCTTTTTTTCAAATTTAAGCTAGAAAAGCAGAAGGAAAAAAATCCCCAAGTTATTATAAATAATGAATAATACAAAGGGATAATTCGATTATTTAAAAATTTGGGGGTTTTTTCTTTTTTTAAAAATTTTTCATTTGTTTTCTAGAGACAGAGTCTCACTCTATAATCCAGCTGGAGTACAGAGGCATGATTATAGCTCACTGCATTCTCGAACTCCTGGACTCAAGCGATCCTCCTGCCTCAGCCTCTCGAGTAGCTGTGACTACATGAGTGCACCACCACGTCCAGCTAAGTTTTTAATTTACATTTTTATTTCTCATAGAGACAAGATCTCATTCTGTTGCCCAGGCTACAGTTCAGTGGCACAATCTTAGCTTACTAGAACCTTAAATTCCTGGGTTCCCCTTTACTAAAAGTCACAAATTAGAAACAAAATAAGTTTCAGGAAAATTAAAATTTGAGATTCTTACACAGATTCTAATACAATTTCAATGTCTTCCATAATTTTCAATACAAACTGATAGTTCAAAATATTAAATAAATGAATTTTTTTGTTACTAACAACATATCTAGAATACAAAAAATACACTCAGATAGCTTTATAAACTAAGGCTTTCATGCCTTAAAACCTTAGTCCTTGCTTTCAAATTCATGTAGAGAATGCCACTGAGAAAGGAAGGTGCACTTTATACTTTTTTGGGTGCTAAATATACCAAATAAGCATCCCATGAGTGGTGTCCCCTCTGGCAACGCAGCCCACAACCTACATGCACTCACAGGGGAAGAATATGGGTCAGGGAAGATGACTGATGCTGCGGACCAAGAAGGTGAATGGAAGAAAGAATGGAAAGCAGGAAAGAGTACTGGTAAATTTGGCTTCTCTTCTCTGCACTTTGTAGTCCTAGCTGAAAGAAAGCACTGGTTCCATCTGTCCAGACCATCACTGCAGCCCAGCAGAGAGGTCACTTACTTGAACATTCTAGGATTTCAATACTGGCGTCCAGCTTACAGTTAACAGGTGCATGACTTTGGGCCATTCACATAATATTCTTTGCCACAATCTACTTGCCCTATTTACTTTCTAGAGTAATTATAAAGATAAATTATAAAAATGCATTGGAATTTTTAAAATGAATTAAAAGTAAAATACAAGTAATCTCCAAAGGAAGCTTCCTCAAACCTAATTAGTTTCCTTTCCTGCAATTTGTAATATGTCCCCTGGTTCTAGTTGGTTTTGTCTCTTCACTGAGTCATACACAGATGAGAGTTTTTTTTGTCTCTGTGTTTTTATCCAGTAGTTTAGTATAATGCTTGAGAGCACAGACTTTGGGGTCACATAGTCCTAAATTCATGTCCTCACTTGGTCATGCGGTCATTTTCTGTCCTTAGGCAATTTATTTAGTCTCTCTAAGTCTCTGATTCTTCATCTGTATTCACAGGGTTGGTGTAAGATTTATTTTTCTCCTCATCATCTCCCACTTCTGGTACAGGTTGAATGTCCCTAATTTGAAAATCCAAAATCTTCCAGATTTCATGCTCCAAAATTCAGACAATTTTGAACACCAACGTGATGCCACAAACAAAAAAATTCCACACATAAGTACTCAACGCAAACTTTGTTACATGCACAAAATCATTTAAAAGATTATCTTAGCCGGGTTTGGTGGCTCAGCCTGTAATCCCGCGCCTTTGGGAGGCTGAGGTGAGTGGATTGCCTGAGCCCGCGGGTTCGAGACCCGCCTGGGCAGCGAGACCTCATCTCTACAATTAAAAAAAAAAAATCAGCCGGGCGTGGTAGCGTGCACCTGTAATTCCGGCTAATCAGAAGGCTGAGACGGAAGGATCGCCAGAGCCCAGCAGGCGAGGCTGCGGTGGCTGGGAGCAGTCACTGCACTCCAGTCTGGGCGACCGAGTGAGACTCCAACTCAAAAAAAAAAAAAAGATTACATTAAATTACCTTCAGGCTAAGGTGTCTCTGAAACATAATTGAATTTTGTATTTGGACTTGGTTCTTGTCCCCAATGTATATGCAATTATTCCAAAATCCACTTTTAAAAATCTGAAATCTGAAATCTGAAACACTTCTAGTCCCAAGCACTTTGGATTATGGAGAATCAACTTGTATATCCATACAATGGAATACTACTCTGCAATAAAAGAGAATGAACTATAGATACGTTCACAACATGAATAAATCTCAGCATAATTATGCTGAATGAACAAACACAGAGACAAAAGACTACATTATGATTCAGTTTCTATAAAATTCTAGAAGATTCAAACTACTCTTTGATGAAAAGCAGATGAATGGTTACCTGGGCATTGAGGGAGAGGCAGAGGAGGGAAGGATTAGAAAAAGATATTAAAAAAACTTTTAGCAATGATGACCATGTGGTGATTGTGGTGACAGTTTTATGGCTGTATATATGTATTAAAGCATATCAAATTGGACACTTTAAGTACATGCAGTTTATTGTAGCCCAATTAGACTTCATTAAAACTGTTTAAAATTTAATGTACATATAAATCACCTGGGAGATCTTATAAAATACATGTTCAAGTCAGCACAGTGGCTCACACCTGTAATCCCAGCACTTTGGGAGGCTGTGGTAGGAGGATCGCTTGAGTCCAAGAATTTGAGACCAGCCTGGGCAACATAGCAAGCCCCTATCTCTACAAAAAAAGAAAAGAAGCCGGGCGCGGTGGCTCAGCCTGTAATCCTGTGCCTTTGGGAGGCTGAGGTGAGTGGATTGCCTGAGCCCGCGGGTTCAAGACCCGCCTGGGCAGCGAGACCTCATCTCTACAATAAATCAAAAAAATCAGCCGGGCGTGGTAGCGCATGCCTGTAATTCTGGCTACTCGGAAGGCTGAGGCAGAAGGATCGCCGGAGCCCAGCAGTTAGAGGCTGCGGTGGCCGGGAGCGGCCACTGCACTTCAGTCTGGGTGACAGAGTGAGACTCCAACTCAAAAAAAAAAAAAAGAAAAGAAAAAAAAATTCGCTGAGCATGGTGGCACATGCATGTAGTCCCAGCTACTTTGGAGGTTGAGGAAGAAGGATCACTTGACCCCAGGAGTTAGAAGCTACAGTGAGCTGTGATCACACCACTGCCTCCAGCCTGGACAACAGAGTGAGACCCTAACTCAGAAACAACAACAAAAAAAGAAAACACATGTTCAGATTCAGTAGGGCCTAGGGGTCTGCTTTTCTCTTCTTTCTTTCCCTTTTTTTTTTTTTGTTGTTTTGTTTTGTTTTGTTTTTGAGTCAGGCTCTGTTGCTCAGGCTGAAATGTCATGGCACACTGTAGCCTCTAACTCCTGGGCTCAAGCAATCCTCCCACATCAGGTTTCTGAGTAGCTAGGACTACAGGCTAATTTTTAAAAATGTTTTATAAAGATGAGGACTTGCTATGCTGCGCAGGCTGGACTTTAACTCCTGGTCTCGAGCAATCTTCCTGCCTCAGCCTCACAAAATGCTGGAATTACAGGCATGAGCCACTGCACCCAGTCAGATTCTGCATTTCTAATAGCTTCCAGGTGATGTGATAGCTGCTCCTCTCACTTGAGTACATCTCAAAATACGAGTAGCAAGGCTCTACAGGACCTCACTTCACATTATGATCTACAGTCTTCATATTGCAGTATACGGGATAATTTTTCTGTTCTGAAAAAACAATACAAAAAGAAATAAAAGACTTACATTGACAGGAAACCACATGCAGCAACCCTCTTTAGGGTACGTGAACATTCCATACTCTGGCTTGGTCATCTCCTCAAATATACAGTGGAAGAACTCTGACGTGACCCCTCCAGACTCGGGGACAATTTCTTTAACAAATCCAACCTAAGGAAAGAGAACAGAGTCCCAGGTCCTGATTTAAAACACAGTGCTTTGATCTTTATGGAAACATCTTAAACCTCCAATGATCATTCCTGCAGTCACTAAAAATACAAGAATCACACACCCTTTACCTCCTTGCAATCTGTCCTCTGTCAATTTGCTGCCGAGCAGTGGAGGCCAGGAACCTATTTATTATCAGAGTGTTGTATGGATTCTTTATACTGCCCAGGACCAAGTAAAGGGGGATTCTAGTAAGACTTAGCATTCACTGGTTATGTCAACCAGTATCTTGAACCAAATTGTGATGTACTTCAAACGCCTGGGCCACTAAATTCCTCGATGATTGAATCTCATCACTCAGACTTCACAACCTTGGCTCCAGTCACCAACTATTTAGATTTTCCTGCCTCTACCCTAATTTAGGCTTCTGCTGAACAGCTCTCCTAGTCAGTCTGAGCATGAGACCTTGCCACGAACCATCAGAGTTCACTGCCCATAACCCTCATGCAATAAATCAATATTAGCCAGCCCTCTTTTTAAAAACTATCTTGATGGGCATGGTGACTCATGCCTGTAATACCAGCTCTTTGGGAGGTCGAGGTGGGAGGATCACGTGAGACCAGGAGTTGAAGACCAGCCTGGGCAACATAGCAAGACCTCATCTCTACAAAAAAAAAAAAAAATAGCTAGGCATGGTGGCATGCATCTATAGTCTCAGGTACTTGAGAGGCTTAGGGGGAAGGATCGTTTGAGCCCAGGAAGTCAAGGCTACAGTAAGTCATGGTCATGTCACTTCAGCCTGGGTGACAGCGTAACACTCCAACTCAAACAAACAGACAAACAAAAACAACAACAAAAACCTCACAATCTTTCCCTTTGGACTTTATGGTTGAGTACTATCTTGGTTCTCTTCCACCTCTCTAATTACTCTTTTTCTACTTCCTTTTCTGGGTAATTTTCTTTTATCTTTTTAGTGTAAACATCACTAAGCATCATTTCTTGGATTTGGATTTTTGTTCTCTTTCTACTCTCTCTGCCTGGAAAATCCTATCAACTGCTACTTTGATCAACTCTTTGGTCACACACCATCATGTTCAAGGGCCTGCCCCATCCCTTTTGAATATTCCAATAGCAAATTGAGCTTACTTCTCATTTTTTTATTTCTGTTCACTAACCCTATCAAATGTCTTTGCCATTGTAGGTCAGGACTCACTAATGATAAGCCCTGTATTAGTCCATTTTGCATCGCTATAAAGAAATCAGTGAGACTGGGTAGATAAAGAAAAGAGGTTTACTTGGGTTCATGGCTCTACAGACTGTACAAGAAGCACAGTTCTGGCATTGCTTCTGGTGAGGCCACGGGAAGCTTACAATCATGGCGGAAGGGAAATGAGCGCCTGTGTGTCACATGGCAAGAGAGGAAACAAGAGAGACATCAGACCTTTAAAAATACCCAGCTCTCATGGGAACTATCAGAGTGAGAACTCACTCTTTACTGCAGGAAGGGCTCAAAGTCTTTCATGAGGATTCACCTCCATAATCCAGACACTTCCCACTAGGCTCTCCCCCTCCAACACTGAGGATCACGTTTCAACATGAGATCTGGACAGGCATCCAAACTGTATCGGGCCCTTATAACCTTGCTTTGTTTAGAGTATATATTTTGATTGGTTTGAAGTTACTTTCTTACCTCTTGTTCCTCTCCTGTATGGGGAATAATTTTCTACTGATTTTCTCACAGTCAAGATTTAAAGAAACATAGGTACTGGGGAGGCCTACAACTAGAAACTCTGGCTTATCACATAGCTTCTGTTTCCCATTGGAGTCCCATGTGGCAAAATATCCCTTTTCCATCTGAGTCCTACCCTCTAGATTCTGATTTCCTCTCTAAGAGTCTAACTTTTCCCCTCATGGCCAATATTAGGAAAATACACCCCCTTTTGGACAGACTCCAGTTCTCACCTACAGCCTCAGTGGAGCAAGTGATCAAAACCCTACAGGTACCCACAGATGATGAAATGACGAATGGCTGGACCTGAAACCCATATTGTGAAAGGTCTTGAACTAAAACTAGGATCAACATGCAGGAAAAATATCCCTTCCTCTAGCTGTTTGTCGATTGCATCCATAGCCCCAGTTCTTCCCTCTCCCTTGACCAATGTCTTTTGCATATGACTTTGCAGTTCTTCCCATTGAAGAGGCTGAGTGTAGTTCCCTAGCCTTTGGCTTGGGCTCGGCTTTGTGACTGTTTTGATTAAAGCAATCATTATTGTGTGTCCAGATCTCATGTTGAAATGTAATCCTCAGTGTTGGAGGGGGGGCGTAGTGGGAGGTGTCTGGGTCATGGGGGCGGGTCCCTCATGAAAGGCTTGGAGCCCTTCCTGCAGGGATGAGTGAGTTCTCCCTTTGTTAGATCCCATGAAAGCTGGGTATTTAAAAGAGCTCCATGTTTCTCTTGCTTCCTCTCTTGCCACGTGACAAACGGCTCTCCTTCCCCTTCCGCCATGATGGTAAGCTTCCTGAGGCCTTGCCAGAAGCAGATGCCAGAACCGTGCTTCTAGTTAGCTCATGTTAATTGCATGATTGGGCTTGCTCTCTCGCACCTTTGGTACTGCAGTAAGAAGAACGCACTTGTTGCTCTGGGGGGGGGGGGGGGGGGGACGGGGAGGAAGGACACAGGAAGCAGAGCCAAACTACCCCAGCCAAGCTAGATCAACTGGTCCCTAGCCAACTCCTAGACATGTAAACAAACTTAGACAAAATTTGCAAAGCCACCCAGATGAGTTCAGCCTCAGTTGAACTGCAGAGCTGTAAAATAAATTAGTGTTACTTTAAGTAATTATGCTTTAGGTATGTTTCATTATGCAGGATGTTGTAGCCATATAAGTAACTAAGAAGTAACTCATAACCCAATGTGCAATTAAATATCCCTTTGCTGTTCTCTGAAAAGGAAGAGGAGAATTCTGGAAGCCATAAGACTTAACCGTAGTTGCTAATAAAGACTCTCTGAAGAGAGCCCTGTCACAATATATGAATGTACCCCTTTCGTGGCAGTAAAATATTCAAGGAGACTCTTTCCCATACCACGAGTACTTTGCAAAAGTCAATGACTTCAGCTTGGCTTAACTGACGCAGAGCATCTTCAACCAGGTGACTTCGTCTGACTTTAAGTATAAATGTGGGTGATGGAGGAAATTCACCCTTCCTTTGTAGAATGGTTCGCTCCCAATCCATGCATGCTTTTGTTTTTAGCTCCTAGAAAAAGAAGTATGTTAGTTGGCTTCTCCTTTTGACCTCATAAGGATCTTGGGAAATGCTTAAAACTTCAAATAAACATATTTTGTGGGGCATATACTTAATCCTGCTATTGCTATATGTACCACATTGCGATTATTTAAGAAAAAGGGCATTGTATCTATACTATGGAAGATAAAGTGATTGTAAGATCAGAGAAACTATGGTACCTAGGAATTGCATACAGGAGATTAGTTAGCATGGGTGGACAGCTAAGCAATTAAAAGGTTTCTCAGGCCAGGCGTGGCTCACATCTGTAATCCAAACACTTTGGAAGGTTGAGGCAAGAGGAGTGGTTGAGCCTGGGAGCCCGAGACCAACCTGGACCACTTGGCAAGACTTTGTCTCTACAGTAAATAAAAAAACTAGTTAGGTGTGGTGGTGTGTGCCTGCAGTCCTAGCTACTTGAGAGGCTGAGGCGGAAGGATCGCCTGAGCCTAGCAGGTCAAGGCTGCAGTAGCCATGAACATGCCCCTGCACATCCTGGGTGACAGAGTGAGATTTTGACTAAAAAGTAAACAAACAAAAAAATTTTTAAAAAAGAATCTTCTGGGAAAGTTAGGTTTAGGAAGGAAAGACTTAATCTATTTTCTTCCTTTATAAACCAGGCATGCTAGTAAAATAAAAACAGAGATGGCTCAGAAACAAAAGAGATGACCTGGTCAAATCTATTTGTAAACGTGCCAATAACAGACACTCATAATAGTAACTCCAGGGTGAATCTTTACCTAAGGAATGCTATCAGCAGGATATACCTTGCCTGTCTAGGTTGTTTATAAATAAATCTGAAATTTATGTAGTATGGCATATTGGAAAATGTCATGTAAGCTATGGAATTAGTAGCGTATAAAAAGGAAATGTTTCATAATGGAAAAGACTTCTTTTGTACATATGATGTCCCAGACTTCTCCATGTTTCACCCAGAGAGCCTGTATTCTTCACATTAGTAGGAAAAGTCAGTAATGGGTATGATTTCTAATTCCTATGGGTTATTAAAGTATATACATCATAGATAGATACAAATCTTTCAAGAGGAATGACCTAGAAAGCAAGCCTTAGTAATAAAACAAAAATGCAAAGAACAAAGTATTACATATTCTCACCCATAAGTGGACCTTGAACAATTATCGTAATACTATAAAGGTAAGGATTGTCAGAAATGGGAAATTGCTGGGGGTGGAGGAAGGGATTGGCAGTAGTGGGATTATGCCAGGGGAGGGGGTGCACACCTCATCAATAAGGGTACCTGCATAATGAACATTTATATACTTAACCCTCAATTGCCACATCTTTAAAATAAAATAAAATAAATTTTTAAATGTATGTGGAAAATCTTTATCATAAGGTCTGGGGAATGAGCATTATATATACCTAAGAACTAAGACTGATGGCGAAAAAAGAAACACAATAGTACATAAATGTCATGTGGAATAATACAACTTCCAGAAAAGATGTGGAAGCATGAAAGTAAGCAGAAAACAGAAGAAATTAATTGACTCACAGGCATTACCTAGAAATAAAAGAGTACAAGTTGGAGCTTAAAATCAAACTTCAAAAAGCTTAAGAAATACCAAAGTCCAAAGACTGACACTAAGATCACAGTCATTAAAGTTGGATGGAGCCAGGCTCGGTGGCTCAGCCTGTAATCCCGTGCCTTTGGGAGGCTGAGGTGAGTGGATTGCCTGAGCCCACAGGTTCGAGACCTGCCTGGGCAGCGAGACCTCATCTCTACAATAAATCAAAAAATCAGCCGGATGTGGTAGTGCATGCCTGTAATTCCAGCTACTTGGAAGACTGAGGTGGAAGGATCGCCGGAGCCCAGCAGATCAAGGCTGCGGTGGCCAGGAGCAGCCACTGCACTCCAGTCTGGGCAACAGAGTGAGACTCCAACTCAAAAAAAAAAAAAAAAAAAGTTGGATGGAAGAGGAGAGGGAAGGGACAAGGAAAGAACAGATTGCTAGATAGTTTCAGTATTGCTCAAGTCTGTAATTCCAGCACTTTGAGAGGATGACGAGGGAGGATTGCTTGAGCACAAGAGTTTGAGACCAGCCTAGGCAGCATACCAAGAACTTGTCTCTACAAAAACTAAACAAAATTAGCTGGGCATGGTGGTGTGTGTTAATAGCCCCAGCTACTTGGGAGACTGAGGCAGAAGGATCACCCTATGCTCAGGAGGTTGAGGGTGCAGTGACTGTTGATCGTGCTGCTGCACTCCAGTCTGGACAACAGGGTGAGACATCAACTCAAAAAAGAAAAAGAAACAGTGACAACTATAAAACAACAAAAGTTGATAGAGGAAGAAAGTATGGCAAATGTTGATAACTGCTGGGGTTCATTACGTCACTAACTCTATTTTAGATGTGTTTGAAATGCTTCATAATAAAAAAGTAGGGCATACATACCAGCATTTTAAACTGTGAATCAGCTTGCAATAATCTAATTTTGGATAGCAAATTAAAAATGAATGGAAAATCGCTGAAAATAACAGGACTGGGGTTTTGTGCAGGTCCCTAAAAATAGAGATAATAGTTTTGATCATTAAAAACAAGAAATAAACTTCATTCCTTTACCTTATCATGTTAAATTTTTCCCCCCTATACTTTTTGGAAATATTTTAAGAATTCAAATTACCTAGGAACACATTTCCAAGAAAATGCATTTATTTTATAAGTGAAAAAAATGTTTAAGCTTTCAATGATCATCTAATTTAGCAAATCATCATTATAATAAAAAATTTCAAATCTTGATTTATCAAAGGACTAACCAACACAGCTATTACAGTAATGTGTTCTCCATTAAAGTACAAAACTTTTCATAAGTAAAAAGGTTATTCTTACCAGCTTGTTATCCCGAAAGAACAATCTTTTTCTCTCTTCATAAAAGTTCAAAAGGTTGGAAAGTTCATTTATGATGAAAGTATTTTCTGGTAGTCGACAATTAGTTTTGTTTGCCTTAAAGAGAATATGACCTGTGAATTTCATTTTCTATCAATAAATGGTCTAATCTATGATATGTAAATATATATAAGGCTGTTACATAGATAATCAGAATTCAGCTCTATAAACCGAAAACATTTGTCATAGATGAAGTAGCATTCTAGAAAATTTCCATTTTCTGACCTATAAGTTCTTCAATTTTCTTAAAGAAATATTGTCAAAGATAAGATGCTGACAGTGGGGACTGGTAAACTTATTTTGAGGGCACAGGCTTACTGAAAATAGTTTCTAGATCTTGAGAATAAAAGCACCACAAAAATCCAAATACTTTTGACAAATTCAGCACTTTCTCCATTAGCTAATGAATATCAATTTGGTACTCACTGTTTTGTCAAGCATGGGACAAACCATTAGATCTGTCACAGCTATTCAACTCTGCCATAGATAATTTGTAAACAAATGAGTATGACCATGTTCCAATAAAACTTTATTTGCAGAAACAGGAGACTGCCCCTAGGTGTAGATTGCCAACCCATGGTCTAGTAGGTAAAATCAAGTTACCAGGCATATAGTTTCTGTAAGGACTTAAAGCTTTTAAGAAGGCTTCCCAGAAAATCAATGATATAAGTAAGCTTCCATTACATAAAATTAATACAAATGATAGAAGGCAGAAAATAAGAAATTTAAGAATTAAGGAAATAAAAAGCAAATGTACAGGAGAAGGATCAACAAATGAAAGGTTGATTCTTTTTTGAAAAACTACAACAGGCCATTGCCTTGCTAAACTATGTCTGGTCATGTTGGCCAGCCTGTGTTTTCCTAAGCTTTGGCCCCCTCCCCTACCTTGAGTAGGTGAATCTCCTCTCTCTCTCTCTCTCTCTCTCTCTCTCTCTCTCTCTCTCTCTCTCTCTCTCTCGCTCTCGCTCTCTCTCTCTCTCATTTCTCCTCTCTCTCCTCTCCTCTCTCTAATTTACTTACTAAATAAACTATATTTTCCAATCTAAAACAACAACAACAACGAAAAACAACAACAATTTCCTGGTAAGACTTTTCCAAAAAAAAAAGACACAAAGAACTAGAATTAGGAATGAAAAATGAAACAAAATGAAGATTAAAAAGATAAAAAATAGGATATTCAAAAACTTAGGTAAATATACAAATTCCAGCCTGGCGTGACTCACACTGGAATCCCAGCAGCTGCGGAAGCTGAGATGAGAGGATTGTCTGAGCCTACGAGTTTGAGAACAGCCTGGACAACACAGTGAGACCTCATCTCTACAAAAAAATTAAAAAGTTAGCCAGGTGTGGTTGTGCATTTCTGTGGTCCTAGCTACTTAAGAGGCTGAGGTAGATCTTGTGAGCCTAGGAGTTTGAGGCTGTAGTGAGTCATGATCATGCCACTGCACTCCAGTATAGGTGACAGAATGAGACCCTAACTAAAAAAAGAAAAAGAAAAGAAAAGAAAAGAAAAAGAGGCAAATTCCTGGGAAATATAACCAACACAAGAAACAGAAAATCTCAACAATCTTGTGGCTGTTAAATAATTAAACACACAATTTTTAAAACTTTCCACAAATAAATCTCCAAAAGAGTTCACAGATGAATTCTACCAATCACCTAAGGAAATAATACCAATATGACAATTTCTTACATAGAATAGAAAAGGGCTGGGCGTGGGGCTCACGCCTCAACACTTTGGGAGGTTGAGGCAGGAGGATTTCTTGAGCCCAGGAGTTCAAGACCAGCCTGGGGAACAAAGCAAGACCCCCATCTCTACAAAAAAGTAGAAAAATTAGCCAGGCATGGTGACATGAGCCTATAGTCCAGTTACTCAGAAGGCTGAGACAGGAAGATCGCTGGAGCTCAGGAATTCAAGGCTGCAGTGAGCCAAGATAGTGTCACTGCACTCCAGCCTGGGCAACAGAGTGAAACTGCTGTGTCTCGAAAACAAAAAAAAGAGAGAGAGAGAGAATAGTCCCTAAATTATTTCATGAGGCCAGCACAACCTGATCCAGAAACCTAGGGGGAGTTTATGAAAAAGTAAAATAGCATGTCAGTCCCACTTGTGAACACAGATACAAATATCCTAAACAAAATATTAGCAAATTTAGTCTTCAAAATCTTCATCAAAATCATAAGCAAGTGGGATTAATTCAAGTAGGCAAAGTTAGTTTAACAGCTGAAAATTCATCTGTGTATTTGGCCATCATATGCAGAAAAAGCATTTAATAAAATTCAATATCCATTCATGACTTAAAAAAAAAAAACTCCTAGCAAACTAGAAGTAGAATGGTACTTCCTTAATCTTTTAAAAAGATATCCACAAAAATCCCATAGCAAAACATAAAACTAATGTTAAAGTTTTCCCTTTGTGATCAGAACAAGATTATAAATATTATACTGGTGGTTCTAGCTGATGAAATAAGTAAAGAAAAAGAAATAAGAAGAATAAAGCTGTCATTATTCCCAAGTTGTATAATTGTATACACAGAAAATTCAGAGGAATCAACAGATTAGTACTGATAGGTAAATTTAGCAAGATTGCTAAAACAAGGTTAATGTACAAAAATTACTGCATTTCTATACACCAATGACAAATTTAAAAAGAAAAGGTAAATCGATTGAATTTATCATCAAAATAAAAAACATTTGTGCTTCACACAATAAATGAAAAGTGAAAAGACAACACACAGAATGGGAGAAAATATTAGCAAATCACATATCTGAAAATGGATTTATAACTACATGTAAAGAACTCTTACAACTCAATAATAAAAAGACAAATAAACAAAGTTTTTAAATGAGCAAAAGATCCAAGTAAACATTTCTTCAAAGAAAATATACAAATGGTCAGTAAGCATATGAAATAATGCTCCATATCATTAGCCATCAGGGAAAGGCAAATCAGAACCACAAAGAGGTATCATTTCCCACATACTAGGATGACTATACTCAAAATGACAGATAATAACAAGTGTTGACAAGAATGTGGGAAAATTGGAACTGTCATACACTGTTGCAACATGGTGTAGCTGCTTTGGAAAAAACAGTCTGGTAGTTCCTCACAAGATTAAACTGGAGTTGTCACAGGGTCCAGTATTCCACTTTTATGTACAAGTATACACCCAAGAGAAATGAAAACAAATGTCTACACAAAAACTTGTACACAAATGTAAATAGTTGCATTATTCATAACAGCCAAAAAGTGGATATAACCCAAATATCCATTCATCAAGGAACGGATAGTGTGGTATTTCATATCATGAATTACTTATTATTCATCAATAAAAAGGAGTGCTACAGCATGGATGAACTTTGAAAACATTACGCTAAGTTAAAGAACCTCATCACAGGAGGCCACATGATGTGTGATTCCATTTATATGAAATGTCCAGGACAGGCAAATCTGTAGAGACAGAAAGTAGATTAGTGATTGCCTAAGGCTGGGGTGGAGGGGCGGGGAATGGGAGTTTGGGGGAGGAGGATGGGGAGTGATTGCTGATGGATACAGGGCTTCTTTTTGGGTGATGAAAATGTTCTAAATTTGATTGTGGTAAAGGTTATACAACTCCGTGAATATGGGGAAAACGATTACATTGTACATTTTAAGGGAGTGAATTATATATGAATTATATCTAGATAAAGCTGTTTTAAAAAGATACACAATCACATACAAATATCAAGTACTCAGGATTAATCTAATAAAAGATTGCAAAATTTCTACATAGAAAACTGTAAAATATTTACTGTAAGAAAGTAAAGGAAAAAAAACTAAAGGAGACCTAAATAAATAAAGAGCTATATTATGATCAGACTTATAAGACTCAATATTGGCCCAGTGTTGTGGCTCACGCCTATAATCCCAGCACTTTGGGAGGCTGAAGTGGGAGGATCAGTTGAGGACAGGAGTTAGAGACCAGCCTGAGCAATGTAGGGAGACCCTTGCTTTTACAAAAAATTTTTTTAAATTTTTTGAGCTGAGCATGGTAGCACCTGTACTCCCAGCTTCTTTGGAGACTGAGGTGGGAGGATTGCTTGAACCCAGGAATTTGAGGATGCAGTGAGTCATGATCATACCACTGCACTCCAGCAACAGAATGAGACCCTGCCTCAAAAAAAAAAAAAAAAAAAGACTCAATATTGTAAAATTAGGACACGTGCAGTGGCTCCCGCCTATAATCCCAGCACTTTGGGAAGGTGAGAGGAATGCATGAGCCCAGGGGTTCAAGACTAGCCCGGGCAACATGGCGAGACCTCGTCTCTACAACAAATAAAAAATTAGCCAGGCATGGTGGTGTGTGCCTGTAGTCCCAACTACTTAGAAGGCTGAGGCGGAAGGAACACCTGAGCCCAGCAGATTGAGCCTGCGGTGGCCATGGTCATGCCACTGCACTCCAGCCTGGAGGATAGTGAGTCTCTGACTCAAAAAAAAAAAAAAGCCGGGCTCAGTGGCTCAGCCTGTAATCCCGTGCCTTTGGGAGGCTGAGGTGAGTGAATTGCCTGAGCCCGCGGGTTCGAGACCCGCCTAGGCAACTTGGCAAGACCTCATCTCTACAATAAATCAAAAATCAGCCGGGCGTGGTAGCACGTGCCTGTAATTCCGGCTACTTGGAAGGCTGAGGCGGAAGGATCGCCGGAGCCCAGCAGGTCGAGGCTGCAGTGGCCAGGAGCGGCCATTGCACTCCAGTCTGGGCGACTGAGTGAGACTCTAACTCAAAAAAAAAAAAAAAAAAAAAAAAATACTATACAGTTGTCTATTTTCTCTCCAAGTGTTCCATAGATTCAATCCACTACCAGGTCAAAAACACAACCCAAAGCTCATGAGGTGGAATTTGTGGACTTGAAATAAAAAAGTAATTTTAAGGTTTTATTTCAGTGCAAGAAGGATCTTGCAGAAGAACATAAAAGTTACTTACTCTACCATGCCGATAATTATTATAAAGATACAGTGACTAGTACAGTATTGCATTAATACAGGATAGATTAACAGCCTCATGGCTAATGAGCATTTGATTTTCAACAAACGCAGTTCTACAAAGCACCAGGGAAAGAGAGGTACTCTATTAATAAAAATTAGCCTACACGGGTTCGAGACCCGCCTGGGCAACTTGGTGAGACCTCATCTCTACAATAAATCAAAAATTAGCCGGGCGTGGTAGCGCGCACCTGTAGTTCCAGCCACTTGAAAGGCTGAGGTGGAAGGATCGCTGGAGCCCAGTAGGTTGAGGCTGCGGTGGCCACGAGTGTGCCACTGCACTCCAGTCTGGGCGACAGAGCGAGACTCCAACTCAAAATAAAAAAAATTTAAAAATTAGCCTAGATGGAAAAAAGATAAATGTAAGAAATGGTGCCCTGCTATGATACCCTGTATGCAATAAGAGAGAATGAAACACAAAAAGAAAGAAGCAGAGAGAGACAAGACTGATGGCAATGCTTGGGTCTGAAGTTAGTATGACTTGAAATTACGCTCTATCACAACATTAGTGGAACAAATATGATCTTCCATTTTTTCATAAAACCGAAGATACCATTTCAGGAACCCAAACCAATCATCATGTTTACTAATTGCAGCTTAATACAGTAAATTACAACTTAATGGTCTTAATGATTAATTATTAATTAGCTTTTCTTCCTAGGCACAAGAACATCAAAGCATAAATACCTAGACTATCAACAAAAGCATCACATAAGAGTTTCTCATGGAAGGGTTCAGTGGCTCAGCCTGTAATCCCAGCACTTTGGGAGGCCGAGGCAAGAGGATTGTCTGAGTCTGCAGGTTCGAGACCCATCAGGGCAACTTGGTGAGACCTCGTCTCACAATTAAAAAAAAAAAAATAGCCAGGGGTGGTAGTGCATGCCTGTAGTTCCAGCTACTTGGAAGGCTGAGGCAGAAGGATCACAGGAGCCCAGCAGGTCGAGGCTGCAGTGGCTGGGAGTGTGCCACTGCCCTCCAGCCTGGGTGACAGAGTGAGACTCCAACTCAAAAAAAAAAGAGTTTCTCATAATCTTAGGCTCTACCCAAGGCTTATGGGATCAGAATCTGAGTTTTAACAAGATCTTAGGTAATTAGTATGCATGTTAAAGGTTGAGATGTGTCGCCCTAGATGCTATTGACATCAGTGCCTGTTACTCTGGTCTACATTTCTGGAATTTAAGAGTTCTTCTGGGAATCACTCGTCTCTGTGAGAAGAGAATTCAGCCACTTACCTGATGTCCATCCTTATAGTTGGTCAAGAGCCCAACCTGATTTCTATTTGCAGGGACTAGCACCCAAAATAGAATGAGCATGATGTAACCAAGTCCTGTGACTTCTGGATGCCACTGACTCCCACTAAAACAGACCTTGAGGCCAGGCACAATAGCTTATACCTGTAATCCCAGCACCTTAGGAGGCTGAAGTGAGAGGACTGCTTGAGCCCAGAAGTTCGAGACAAGACTAGGCAGCATAACAAGACCTCACCTCTACAAAAATTAAAAAAATTAGCCTGGTGTGGTGGCGTGCACCTGTAGGCTCAGCTACTTGGGAGGCTGAGGTGGAACAATTGCCTGAGCCCAGAAGGTCAAGGCTACAGTGAGCTGTGATAATGCCACTGCACTCCAGCCTGCATGACAGTGAGACCCTGACTCATAAAAGAAAAAACAGACCTTGCACTCTGGGTGTTCCTAATGTTGACAGGGCCACAGAGAATGTGAACACTAAATCCTAGTGGCCCCACCTGATCTTTCTATAGTGGGATTTCATAAACATTCTGATATGGACAGAATCAAATGACATAGCAGTATCCATTGGCCTCTTTCTTTGTTCTGGCCATGCTCCTCTATGAACTTTTTCTTCTTTTCTTCCTATTTAATTTTTACCAAGTTATAACCTATACAAGGTCCAATAATTAAGTTTGTGAACCATCCTAGAAAAAGTGCTACACACATCATTGCTGAATGTCACTATGGTTGCCTTTGAAGTACTCCCCTTGGGAAGCTAGGCACCGATGCCAGCGCCTTGTCCACCCGTCAAAAAAAAAAGTTTTGGAACTCTTTTTCTGGAATGACCATCAGCACTGTCATCATTATCTGTTGAGTTCTGCCAGTTAAGTTTGCAAACTGACCACGTGTGCTTACATTGGCAGCACTGTACAAATAGCTGTGTTGGAACACCCTCCCTACTCACCTGATCTGGCTCCCAATGACTTTTTTCTTCACCAGATGATAAAGGCAATATTGAAAGGAAGACATTTGATGACATTCAGGACATCAAAGGTAATATGATGACAGCTCTGATGGCCATTTCAGAAAGAGTTCCAAAATTGCTTTGACGCGTGGACTAGGCACTGATGAGCTGCATAGCTTCCCAAGGGAAGTACTTCAAAGGTGACTATAGTGATTTTCAGCAATGAAGGTATGTAGCACTTTTTCCAGGATGAGTACATGAATTTAATTGTCAAACTTCATATTCAGTAAGTGCAGATATCTTAAATGTACAGCTTGACACACAGTTGTATACTTGTGGTAAGTACTGTCCAGATGAAGACATAGAACATTTTCGGGAACATCTAGAAAGCTCCCCCATGCTCCTTCCAAGTCAACTGCCCCCCCTACCAAGAGTAAACACCATTCTGATTTATATTATTAAAGATTAGTTTTGCTTGTTTTTAAAATTCATATAAAAGAAGTCATAGAGCATAATTTTTTAGTATTTTTTGCTCATCACCAAGTTGATGAAATTCACTCATGTTGCTACATATAGCGATATCCTTTTTTTTTTTTGAGTTGGAGTCTCACTCTGTGCCTAGGTTGGAGTGCAGTGGCATACTCACGACCACTCCAGCATCAACCTACTGGGCTCTGGCGATACTTCCGCCTCAGCCTTCCAAGTAACCAGATCTACAGGTGCGCGCTACCATGCTCAGCTAATTTTTTATGTATTGTAGAGATGAGGTCTTGCCAAGTTGCCTGAGCTAGTCTCGAACTCCCCCAGACTCAGGCAATCCACTCACCTTGGCTTCCCAAAGTGCTGGGATTAGAGGCTGAGTCACTGAGCCTGGCCTATAGCAATATCCTTAATGCATTTCTCTCTCCTTTTTTTTTTTTAGACACAAGGTCTTGCTCTGTCACCCAGGATGGAATGCAGATGCATGATCATAGCTCACTGCAGCCTCGAACTTGAACTTGAGCTCAAACGATCCTCCTGTCTCAGCCTCCTGAGTAGCTGGGACTACAGGCACAATGTACTTTTTCTTAATGAAAGAATTCATGACAAAACATTGTAAGTTCTCAAGAAGTTTTTCACTTTTTAAGTCCCCAATTATTAAATACCAAACATTTTCCTTTTATACATTACTTTTAAAAATACAGGCCAGGCTTGGTGGCTCAGCCTGTAATCCCGGCACTTTGGGAGGCCGAGGTGAGTAGATTGCCTGAGCCCACGGTTCGAGACCAGTCCGAGCAACTTGGCAAGACCTTGTCTCTACAATACATAAAAAATTAGCCAGGTGTGGTGGCGTGCACTTGTAGTTCCAGCTACTTGGAAGGTTGAGGCGGAAGAATCGCTGGAGCCCAGCAGGTCGACGCTAGGGTGGCTGTGAGTGTGCCACTGCACTCCAGCCTGGGCGACAGAGTGAGACTCCAACTCAAAAATAAAAATAAATAAGTAAATAAATAAATAGCCAGGCGTGGTAGCTCACATCTGTAATCCCAGCACTTTGGGAGGCGGAGGTGAGCGGACTGCCTGAGCTCAGGAGTTCAAGACCAGCCTGGGCTACTTGGCGAGAACTTGTCTCTTCAATAAATCAAAAAATTAACCACGTAGTGGCACACGCTTGTGGCTCTAGCTACTTGGAAGGCTGAGGCGGAAGGATCACCTGAGCCAGGCAGGTGGAGGCTGTAGTGACCAAGAGTGTTCCACTGTACTCCCGCCTAGGCAACAGAGTGAGATTCCAACAACAACAAAAAAACCCAAAAACCGTTTTTTCACTTCTCATGATTTTATTTGATTTCTTAAAACTCCAATTGACTGAGACTTAGCAGATGTTTACTTAATAAAATGGTATATGCATGCCTTTAGATGAACTCTTACCTTATATACTTCTTTCATGACTCCGAGAAGCGCTTTAATAGCAGAGTGACCCGAAATGGATTCAGTCCAATTAAGCAATTGAGAGATGACAGCTGCCTTAAGCATCTGGACCAGGGTGTTCAGAGAAGATTCTTGCAAAGATGCCCAACACTTTCCTGGGGGGTATAAAATCAGTCATGATAAATACGGTTTTCCTCCTGAAACCCAGGATATCCTTTTCTCAGTATATCCTGGCCAACACTTATCACTCACAAATGTGGAAAATTTTTCCTATTTGTCACTAGAGTTAAAAGCTCAAATTCAGGATTTGAAGAAATTTGATGATGGTTCACATTTTTGCTTAATGGATTGACTTCATGATTTTCGACTGACAATTTTATAGGGTATCTATATAAAGTCTGAGGACATACATAGGTGAATATATTTAAATACACACACATATACAATGTCATCATGGACATCTTAATCGGTAAAAAATGAAATAGTATCTACGTTTTCAGATTTTATGAACACCTGGTACATATAAATATATAAACCTTTAAAAATAGCCAATAAGCTGGGCGCAGTGGCCATGCCTGTAATCCCAACACTTTGGGAGGCAGAGACAGGGGTTTGAGACCAGCCTGGGCAACTTGGTGAGACCTCGTCTCCAAAATAAATTAAAAAATTAGCTGGGTGTGGTGACATGCACCGGTGGTTCCAGTTACTTGGAAAGCTGAGGTGGAAGCATCGCCTGAGCCCTGCAGTTTGAGGCTGCAGTGGCTGTGAGCATGCCACTGCACTCCAGCCTGGGTGACAGAGTGAGATTGCCTGACAAAAAAAAAAAAAAAAAAGCCAAAAACTATACTTTAATATTTCTGATATTACAACCTGAATTTTGGTACATTTAAAGGACAATTCTCAGAAAACAAATCTATTAAATGTTAAAATACATTATCAAGCTAACATAATTAAAACAACATCACTTAGATACCTGAAAAAAAAAAAAGTAGAGATTCCATAAGTGGACCCAAATGCACATCACATGAGACTTTTGTATACAATAAAGGTGGCATGACATATTATTTGGAATGAAACAGATTCGAGAAGTGTGTGGGGACAATTTGCAACTGATTTAGGAAAAAAAAGATTAACCAGGAGAAAACTCCTTATGGATCAAAGATTTACACATAAAAATTAAATCACAGAAATTATAGTAGAAGCATGGAAATTATATTTTAAATATCAGAGTGAAGCAGGTTTTTTGAAGTATGACTCCAAATTCAGAAGTAATAAAAGAAAATATGACTATAGTAGGCTACATAAAGATTTTTAAAATAATTATGCATGGCAAAAATACCACCGAGTTAAAGAAAAAGTACTAAATACTTGCAATTCATATTATTGATAAAGGAGTAATTACTTTGATTGTGAAAAAGCTCCTTTAAAATAAAACAAAAATACTTAGAACAAATGGAAAAGGAGCAGAGAGGGAAGAATGATGGTGAAACCGCCCTCCCAGAGTCAACGAAAATTGCAAGGCAAGCTGTAGGCAGAATTATAGTTAGGTATGGACCAGGGTGCACTAGGGAACTTCTATCCATTTTCCTGAAGCTGCTAACTAACCGACAGTCACACAGCAGCTGACACCTGCTCCTGTACTGTCCCTGGAGATAAAACATCTGACACTGGAACTTTTTTATATCTTTTTTATTTTTTAGTCAGAATCTCACTCTGTCACCCAGAATGGAGTGCAGTGGCATGCTCACAGTCATTGCAGCCAAAAGTGCTGGGATGACAGGCATGAGACACCAAGCCTGCCTTTTTTTTTTTTTTGAGTTGGGGTCTCACTCTGTTGCCCAGGCTGGAGCACAGTGACATGATCATGACTCACCATAGCCTTGAATTCCTGGGCTCAGGCCATCCTTCTGTCTCAGCCTCCTGAGTAGTTAGGCCTGTGCCAAAATGGCCAGCTAATTTTTTGATTTTTTTGTAGAGATGGGATCTTGCTATGTTGCCCAGGCTCTCTAACTCCTGGACTCAAGCAATTCTCCTGCCTCAGCCTCCCAAAGTGCTGGGATACAGGCGTAAGCCACTGTGCACAGTCAACACTGGAACTTTTTACTCAAAAATAATTTAAGGTGCTTTTCTGATCCAGGATTCCAGCAAAATGGCTGAGGTCTACCAGTCTGAAGTCCCCTACCAAGAAACCAACTCAGTATGGAAACGTGTTTATTTATCTCCCTATCCCTGATTTTACCCCTCACTTGTCAACAAATCAGTGATCCCCACATTTTAGTTCATCATGCGTCCAGAATCCTGAAAAACCCCATCCCCGAGCTGCACGGGGTGGTAGATTTGGGATTCCTCTCCTCAACTGGCTACACTGAAATGAAACTCTTTCTCTGTTGCAACTCCCATCGTTTCTGTGTCTTGGTCTGTTACCAGCAGGCAATAGAACCCAGTGGTCCTATAACAGTAACTTGCAGAATCTGACATACAATGGGATCTGAGGTAGAAGAAAACCAGCAGAACCTCATTCTTAATAAAAAAAATTCAAGTTAAAAGGTGTTTTTTTTAAATTTCAGAATGGCAAAGTTCAAAGTTTGATAACATAGTTGAAAAGCATGCAGTTGGATACTCTCATATCTACTGATGAAGGGTATATTGGTACATCCTTTGTCAGGCGGGACTGCTATGGTGTGCAACTTGATGTGCAGTTTACTTCGACTACAGTGTGAATGGTGGCCAATTAAAGTTAGGTGACGTGACAACCCTGACCTCTGTGGAGGGTCATGTGGCAAAATATCTCAAAATAAAAATGCACATACAATTTGACTCAGTGATTTTGCTTCCTGGAATTTTCCTGCCTATGTAAGTTTACATATGTACAAAGAAATACATGCTAGCACTGTTATAACAGCAAAGAGTAGAAACAACTATTCATAGTACATCTTCCCAACAGAACACTCTTCAGTCATTACGTAGAATGAGGCAGGTCTATGGATTCTGTATTCCATATGATTTCCATGATAAACTGGCAAGTGGGTAAAAGCAAGTTGTGGAAGAAGAATTGGAATGTGACGCTACCAATTAAAAAAAAAAAAAAAAAGACCCAGGATTTGGGTAGGTCAGGGTGGGAGGATTGCTTCAGTCAGGAGTTCTAGACCAGCCTGGGCAACATAGTGAGAACCCATCTCTACAAAAAAAGAAAAAAAAATGTATACGTTTATATATAGAGAATATATTTTGAAGGTTACATGAGGATCTATAACCACCTCTGGGAGGGAAACTAGGTGGTTTATATTTCATTGTACTTTTCCTCTGTACCTCTTAAGTGAAGGAGCCTGGGGAATATTATCCCCAGATGTGGCACGTTGGTATGCTGATCATTTAACATTAAAGGCTCTTGCAGGTCAGAAGCTGCTGGAAGACACTCTTCTCTGCTAGTCCTGTTAAGACTGAACCCACCAGACTGCCTGAGCCCACGGGTTCGAGACCCGCCTGGGCAACTTGGCGAGACCTCATCTCTACAATAAATCAAAAATTAGCCGGGCGTGGTAGCACGCGCCTGTAGTTCCAACTACTTGGAATGCTGAGCAGAAGGATCACCAGAGCCCAGCAGGTTGAGGCTGAGGCTGCGGTGGCTGGGAGCGGCCACTGCACTCCAGTCTGGGTGACAGAGTGAGACTCCAACTCAAAAAAAGAAAAAAAAAAAAAAGACTGAACCCACCAAAGAGAAGACAATTGCTTTTCATCTCCTCCCTAAAATTTCATCATCTGTCACTGAAAAGAAGACTGAGGAATGTAACCACACCAGGATGTACTTTTTCTTTTCTTTTCTTTTGAAAACAGGATTTATTGAGGACAGAAAAGCTTCTGCAGTGGGAGGGAACCCTAGGGGGTTGCTGTTGATGTACTTTTTCAAAAGATAATGTCTGCCTCTCAGGCTCATTCAAATTTCAAAGAGAATCATTGACAAGTTAGTTTCTGTTTCCTGGGTCCACTCATTCTCCCTAGTAATCATTTAAGGCTATTGTCTACATGTAGAAGGGTATATAAACACCTGTATCCACTGGGTTATTGGGTAATCACTGGACCTTTGATATTAGCTGAAAACTGTAAGAGGACATTTCATAGTATTGAATAAAATAATAACACAAAATTTAACATTTGTTTTTCATCGCCTCTGGTCAAAATGTATAAAGTCTCAAAACAATACCAGCAAAAAGTTTTAAAGGATGAATTTATCTTGACTGAATATTCTATGGATATCAAGCTTTGATATCTGGCTGGATGTGGTGGCTCACGCCTGTAATCCCAGCACTTTGGGAGGCTGAGGTGGGAGGATCACTTGAGCCCAGGAGTTCGAAACCAGCCTGGGCAATATAGTGAGACCTTGTCTCTATTTGTAAAAATATATACGTATATATATTTAAAAATCTGATATCAATGTCGCATCCAAGTCTAAGAACTATACCTGCTTGGTGTGATAAGAGTAATGACTATAAAAGCTTTAGGCTAATCTTTTCAATAATTCACATACCATGTGCTCAAATACTTGCACGTTTTGAAATCTATCAAAAATTTGGGCCGGGCTTAGTGGCTCAGCCTGTAATCCCAGCACTTTGGGAGGCCGAGGAGAGTGGTGCATGCCTGCAGTTCCGGTTACTTGGAAGGCTGAGGAGGAAGGATCACCGGAGCCCAGCGGGTGGAAGCTGGGGTGGCCGTGAGTGTGCCACTGCCCTCCAGCCTGGGCGACAGAGTGAGACTCCAACTCAAAAACAAAAGCAAAAACAAAAAAAAAAATCTGCTACAGCTTCTTCTTCAGACAGTGATTCTGCACTGAGAGTACAAATAAAGTAACTTAAAACTTACTCAGGACTTGTCGAGATCGGTCACTCATTTCACAAACAGCCTTTGCAAACGGAACCACCAGCTTCCTCCAGTTCATAGAAGCCTGCATCGCGGGACATTCTGGGAGCAGGAGGAAAATGGACAAAGCTTCTTGGTGTGGAGAACGGCATGGAAGACTTCTGAGCAGAGTATTCTGGAGACATGCAGTTATCTGTGGTTGAAACAGGATTGGGGAAAAGGCCCAGGATTTATGAGATAGAGTACTGTGAGAAGCAAGAGACGGGGCCAGGGGTTTCCTTCCACTGTGTTCTGACTGGAATCATCATTCAGCCATTCTGAAACCAACCGAGGAAACCTCATCACTCCTCCATCCCAAATACCCCTGAAGTAGTAAGTGAGAACCATCCTGCCCATTTTATGTTGGTCTGTGTGACAGAAATAAAGTGAAATCACGTGTGCATGGACATGCTGAGCGAACTGTGGACTCAAAACTAATACAAAGCTTGCTGAAAGCAATACTGTACACAGCTCACACCAATATCCCTCCTCCAGAAGGAGAAGTTGTCACCCCCCCCACACACACACTCTCACACTCCATTTTTCTTTCTTTCTTTCTTCCTTCCTTCCTTCCTTCCTTCCTTCCTTCCTTCCTTCCTTCCTTCCTTCCTTCCTTCCTTTTCTTTTTTGTCCTCATATATCCACAGGAAATTTTCAGAGCAAAAATAACTCAGAATTTTTATATTATTTGTTTCATCCAGAAGCAAACTTTTAAAATAGAACATACTTGTGTAAAAAAACACATTCGTGGGAATAATCTGTATGGTATTCCCGATATTTGTTTGAACATTCAAAGTATGTACCAGATGATAGGTGACTTCATGTGAATCATTTTATTTAATCTTATTTATCATCTTGGAAGGTAGTTTTTGCTTTGTTTGTCCTTTAACCTTGTTTTTACACTGAGAAAGGAGAGACTCAGAGGACTCAGAGGAAGTTAGAAGAAGAAGAGGCCACTCGGTTAGACTGATCAGGGATTTATTCCTAAGTCTATCTGACCTAAGGTCTACCATGGAGAGAAGATGGTACATGTTTACTTTGCCTGCCCTGCTTCCTTTTCCTCCTGGGTTCATGGGAAGGTGGCATCCCCAGCCTCCTCTGCAGTGAGGAGGAGCATGTGACTGAGTCCTAGCTCTCCAGCATGTGTGAAGGTGATGTGTGACACTTCAGGCATGGCCACTAAAACCTCTCACAAAACTTTCCGTACTCCTTCCTCTGCCAACTAACCAAAAATAAAAGCCTAAGCCCTCCTCTTCACCAAACCAACAGGATGCCTCTCTTGGTCAAGGAACCCCAGAGAAATCTGAAAAACTGAATTCTGGCCATGATGGGAAGCGAGGTTGGACATGCCTCTCTAATGGATTTTAGGGGCAACTGACCAGCATTAATATTAACATAGAGATCACAGACCGAGCATGGTGGTTTATAGGCTGAGCATGGTGGCCTGTACTCAGAGCTTTGGGAGACCGAGGTGGGAGGAAAGCTGGAGCCCAGGAGGCTGAGACCAGCCTGGGCAGTACAGTGAGATTTCATCTCTACACAAATAAAAAATCAGCTAGGACTACATAGTCCTAGCTACTCAGGAGGCTGGGGCAGGAGGATACCTTGAGCCCAGGAAGTCGAGGCTGTGGTGAGCCATGATCATGCCCTACACTCAAGTCTGGGTGACAGAGTGAGACCCTGACTCAAAAAGATAAAAACAGAGATCATAAGACTCTTTGTGGCAGTAAGACACCAGATTCCCACCTGTTTCTGGTATAGCATCACATGACAGGTAGTAGGCCCTTAAAGAAATACAAATATTTCATCCCAAAATATATTTCTTTGACATATTTTGAAATGGCCCTGCAAAGCGATCTCTTGTGGGGAAATGTGCATCTGTAGACTAACTCCTTCCTTTTCTACTTCTTTCAGACACCTTTGAAGGTCCTAAAAGAGACAGTTATCTATTTTCTCTGCAGTCTGCATTTTCAGAGGCTTTAGCTACATAACTAGAACTTTGGCTTCCAGGACTTGCTCATCTTAGCTTAAGTATTCCTTTCCACTAAGGAAAGGAGCTTAACTCTTTCAACCAAATGCCAATCAGAAAATGCTTGAATTCCCCTTTGACGTGTAAGCCCTGCTTCAAGGTATCCCACTTCTTTAGGCTGAACTAGTGTACACCACCCATGGAATAATTTATGTCTTCACTTGTAACTCTTGTCTCCCTAAAATATATAAAAACAAACTGTAACCTGACTGCCTTAGACACACTTCCTCAGGACCATCTTGAGACAGTTTCCTGGGCCATGGTCACTCACCTTGGCTCAGAATAAGCCTCTTTAAATATTTTACAGAGTTTGGCTTTTTCATCAGGACAACCAGCACAAAAGATGTAAGGAGGAATTTACAGCCCCAGAAACAAACATACCTAACTTTTTAGACCCTATATTTTAAAGACTTTAGAAAGAAGGCGCTTAAGTCAGCCCTGATTGAACCTCTGACCCTCATCGGACTGTGATGTAGAAAAGAAATCTTTATTGTGTCAAGTCTGTAAGGTCCTGTCCAGATATAGACATTTTTTCCCCTGTGCCTGGCTTCTTTCTGCCCCTTCCCTCAAGGAGCTGCCTAAAGATATGCATATCCCCAGTCATGAGTCATGGGACACAAGTGATAATGCAAAACTGAAAGCAATGTAGATGTCAGTCTTTAATCAATGTAACTGTAAACACCATATAGCAATTTAAGTAATTAATTTATTGATTATAAAACCGCTTGCTGTACTGTCCTGAGGTGCATTTTCTTCTCTGACCGGCTGCCATCAATGCTGCCTGTTTTATTTTATTTGTTTATTCTTTGAGTTAGAGTCTCACTCTGTAACCCAGACTGGAATGCAATGACATGCTCATGGCCACCGCAGCCTCAACCTGCAGGGCTTGGGTGATCCTTCTGCTTCAGCCTTCCAAGTAGCTGGAACTACAAGCTAATTTTTTTGATTTATTATAGAGACAAGGTCTTACCAAGTTGCCTAGGCTGGTCTGAAACCCCTGGATCCTCTTGCTTCTGCCTCCCAAAGTGCTGGGATTAGAGGGGTGAACCACTGCCCTTGGCCTCCTGTAAGCTCTTTTTTTTTTTTGAAAGTAGAAAGAAGTAAACTTTATTATTCACCTTTCACAGATTGGAAAGGGGGCTGACACTCAGAGGCAAGTGTGTCCTCGAAGGGCCTCCTGTGAGTTCTAGTAAACCAGTGTTTTTCCCTGCTGGACCTCTGGGTGACTTCTTTGGAATAGGTAGACATTACATGCAAGCTCCCTCAGATTTGGGTTTGTTGTGTTACAGGCCCCGAGATTTGAAAGTTTTTTGTTACAGCAGCTAGCATTACTTATTCTACCTAATAGGTCTATACTCTTTTTTTTTTGTAGAGTCTTCCTCTACCTGTCATAAGGAATATATGCAACAATAAATTGTGAAGTATGATATATTTTATTACATTAATATTCTTACAATTTATTTTTTCACATGTCTAGCAGAACACTCTTTCTGTGGAATGCCAGTTGATGGTGTGTAGAAAATGGCATCATGAAGTCAAATAGCTTTGAGAAATGTAGAGTCAAGAAAGTTAGGTGTGTTTTAGTATATGACACCATAAAACCTTTAATTTACTAGTGTGCAACATGACTATATAACAAGTTGCAGTGTTCCCAGAGTTATTTCATTAACAGCCCCCTTTTTATGGAGTTTTCCATGACACTAATGTTTCTTGGAATTCACACTGGGAATTAGCACCCCAAGATATTTCCCAAAACACCTAAATAAATTCATTTTTAAAATAGTCTCATAACATCTACTATTCTTACGTTATCTTGAAAATAAAAATACAGGGGGTGCCAAAATGTGTATACATTTTTAAGAGATGTTATCCATATATTACTTTTCGAAGTTGAATTAGATTACTGTAGCACATTGTAGTATGACATTTGCTCAACCTTACTTCCGCCATTTTATTTGTCCTGTGTGTTGGATAGTGACACTAGCATTTATTTGATTAACACTGTCGTTTGAGTGAATGTCACATCTTAAATGTGTATATATATATTTTGCACCCCCATATAGTATCTATTACACATTAAGAAACACTGTCCCCCTTTCCCTTTCAAATGTAGAGACCCATGTAGACCCATCAACATGGTATAAAGATTATTTTGAGCTGAATGAAATTTGAGATACAGTTTATATAGAAAAAAGACTTTTTGGAGCTGCTCTTATCTGACTAGTGCAGAGCCTTTCAAGAATGAAGCTGTCATTTGAGATCTGACAATTAGTTTCCAAACTCATCCTAGAAAAAGTGCTACATACCTCATTGTTGAATATCAGCAGTCTTCAAAGTACTTCCCTTGGGAAGCTATGCACTGACACCAGCGCCTGACCTGACAAAGCAATTTTGGAACTCTTTTTTCTGGAAGTGCCATCAGAGCTGTCATTGTGTTACCCCTGATGTCCTGAATGTCCTCAAAATGTCTTCCTTTCAATATTTCCTTTATCTTTAGGTAAAGGAAAAAAGTCACTGGGGGCCAGATCAGGTGAGTAGGGAGGATGTTGCAATACAGTTATTTGTTTACTGGCTAAAAGCTCCCTCACAGACAGTGCTTTGTGAGCTGGTGCAAGGTCGTGATGGAATCAGTCCTTCGGGACCAATTTTGCACACACCTTTCTCATGCCAAGATTTTCAGTTGAGATTTTCCTAACTGTTTCTCTATTGATATTTATTTGGTCTGCCATGCTTCTCACAGTCTGCCCATGACTTTAATGCACAATTCAACAAATTTTTGCCATGTTTTCATCAGGTCTGCTTGTTGCTGGCAGTCCTGACCTCTCTTCATCAGTGACACTTCCTCTCCCCTCTGAAAATGTTTAATTCATTTGTACACTGCCATTGTCTTTCAAGACATTATCCCCATAAACTCTTACTAACATGTCCCTGATTTCACTTCCCCTCTTGCCAAGTTTAACAAGAAATTTAATGCTTGTTTGCTACTCTAATTCAAGCTCTGACATTCTTGTGACAACAGCTCTGCTGGCCATTCCAGAAATAGAGCTCCAAAACTGCTTTGACAGGTGGACTAGGTGATAGTGTCAGTGCATAGCTTCCCAAGGGGAGTACTTAGAAAGTGACCATAGTGATACTCAGCAATGAGATGTGTGGTACTTGTTCTAGGATGGTTTCCAAATTTCACTGTTGGACCTTGTACATCCCTCCCCCATCCCCCTTCCCCAGGAAGCTTCAATGACAAAAATGAGACAAATCATTCAGACCACTCGCACCTGGATGATAAATTGCATAAACAAATGTTATCGCACACTGTCATACCTTCCACTGCTCCCCATAAAAGCCAATTTGATCTTCCCATAGAAACCCTTTCCATCCCCACCCTTTCTCCTACTAAGGTGGTATATACATCCTTAATCCTAGCTGTTCAGGGAACTTCTACATATGAATGTTTCCACATATGAACAAATAAAACTTGTTTTTTGTTTCTGCTGTGTAATAGAATGAATGTGCCCCCCCCCAAATTCATATGTGGAAATCCTAACTTCCAATGCGATGATCTTATGAGGTAGGGCCTTTGGTAGGTGATTAACATGCAAGAGTGGAGCCTTGATGAATGGGATTAGTGCTCTTACGAAAGAGATCCCAGAGAGCTGCTTCACTCTTTCCACCACAAGAGGACACAGCGAAAATATGGTCTATGAATAAAGAATTGGGTCCTTACCAGACACCGAGCCAGCTGAGGCCTTGATCTTAGACTTCTTGACCTTCAAAACTGTGAAAAATCAATCTGTGGTTGAAGTCACCCAGTCTATGGTATTCTATTATGGAAGCCCAAAAGTACTGAGGTATACTGTTAATTTGCAGCCCCCACCATGCTCAAACTTAGGTTGGTAGACTTTTCCTCCCAATCACAGAATATTAAACCGGAATGAACTTTATTTATTTATTTATTTTTTTGAGTTGGAGTCTCACTCTGTCGCCCAGACTGGAGTGCAGTGGCCGCTCCCAGCCACCGCAGCCTCGACCTGCTGGGCTCCAGCGATCCTTCCGCCTCAGCCTTCCAAGTAGCTGGAACTACAGGCGCGTGCTACCACGCCCGGCTAATTTTTTTGATTTATTGTAGAGATGAGGGCTCACCAAGTTGCCCAGGTGGGTCTCGAACCCGTGGGCTCAGGCAATCCACTCACCTCAGCCTCCCAAAGGCGCGGGATTACCGGCCGAGCCACCGAGCCTGGCTTGGAATGAACTTTAAAGATTATCTTACCTTACAGGTTAAAAAAAAAAGTGTGCCTACAGAATAGGAAAAAATATTTGTCAACGATATATATGACAAAGGCCTAACATCCAGGATCTACAAGGAATTCAAATGTGCCAAAAGGAAAAAAACAAACAGCCTCATTAAAAAGAATAGACACTTCTCAAAAGAAGACATATGGGCAGCCAACAGACACATGAAAAAGCGTTCAGCCTCACTAATCATCAGACAAATGCCAATCAAAACCATATTGCAATACTACCTAACCCCAGGAAGAGTGACCATCATTAATAAAACAAACAACAACAGATGCTGGCGAGGATGTGGAGAAAAGGGAACGCTTCTATACTCCTATTGGGAATGCAAACTAGTTCAACCTCTATGGAAAACAGTGTGGCGATTTCTAAAAGAACTAGAAATTGACCTTCATATGACCCAGCAATCCCCCTGCTAGGAATATACCCGGAGGAACTCAAATCATTCTCAAAAAAGATACCTGCACACATATGTTTATTGCTTCACTACTCACAATAGCAAAAACATGTTACCAACCATGCTGTCCATCTAAACTGGTCTGGATAAAAAATATCTACATGACGGCATATTATGCAGCCATAAAGAAGGACAAACATATGGACTTCGCAGCAACTTGGATGGATTTAGAGTCTATCATACTCAGTGATCTGTCACAGAAACAAAGAAGAGTACCACATGTTCTCACTCATAAGCAGACCCTGAACAATTACCGTAATACTATAAGAAAGAGATTGGCAGTAGAAAACCACTGCCAGGGGAGGGAGGATGGCATAAACATCAATAAGGGTACCTGATTTCAAACCAGACGAAATGGGGGCCAAGGGGAGGCCCAAACTTTACCTGTATGATGACCTCATGCTCAATTGTACCACACATCTTTAAAACAAAAAATAAAAATGTGACCTAAAGAGAAAGAATGAGCCGGGCTCGGTGGCTCAGCCTGTAATCCCGCACCTTTGGGAGGCTGGATTGCCTGAGCCCGTGGGTTCGAGACCCGCCTGGGCAGGTGAGACCTCATCTTTACAATAAATCAAAAAATTAGCCGGGTGTGGTAGCGCGCGCCTATAATTCCGGCTACTCAGAAGGCTGAAGCAGAAGGATCACCGGAGCCCAGCAGGTTGAGGCTGCGGTGGCTGGGAGTGGCCACTGCACTCCAGTCTGGGCGACGGAGTGAGACTCCAACTCAAAAAAA